TCAATGACTTTTGATTATATAGGTTTTTTTTACTATGTCCCTTTCTTTCGACGAAAGAATCCCGCTTTTTTCACTCCAAAAAGTTCCTAAATCCCGACTTGGAAAAAAATAAATCTGGCAACGCTACTGCTTACCATCAGGCGGGCCATAAGCTTGTTTGCCACACTTTAACATAAAAAAAAGAAAACTAAATATGATAACAGAAAGTCGATTTCTAAAAGAATCGTTTCTAGCCAAGGTACAGACGAAACCCATTTTGCCAGTCATACAATTACTGTTCTAGCCAACGGAGCTCTGGAAACCTCTCTCATTGAATAAACAGTAGGCAATTTAAGTAAGGGATACGTTACTAGCACTAAGTTGGAGATGATATAGATAACAAGTTTAAATCTAAAGAAAATATTACTAGAAAATCCAATATTTTCTTTAGCTTTAAACATGCTTATAATAAAAAAATATAATTGATAACAAGTAAGTAACTCCTTTTGCAACCTCCGTGGATAATGGGGCCGATTCTGGTATGATTTTAGCATTTAAAATCAATCTCATTTTCATTCTTTATAAAGAATGACAAGTTAAATTTTATTTTAGGTTTAGAGAAATCATTGAGGAATTGTCACCAATACCTACATAATTAAGGACCTAGAATGAGGAACCTATATGTTTTTATATACTGTCGTTATTCAAATAAATAATAATAAAAAAACATTTTTTTTAATTTAAAGATTCGTTGTTCATTATTAAGTTTTAATATTTTTTTCATGTAATTTGCCATTGCGTACGCCCCTAACGTGTTGTGCGGCGCGCGGCTGAAAAATGAATGGGAATTAATTCGGCGAAATTATAATTCCACAGCAACGGCATTTTGGGATTATTTTCTTGACGAAGGCTCCGTTTTGCGGATTATTTGTATACAAACGCAACCATTGTCTGTCATTCAGCGATAAGTACCATGCTATATGAACAACTTGTTTTACTGCGAATACCTGTGATCGATAGATATTTTTTTTTTATTTACTAGCGGCCCCCCGGGAGTTCGCCCGCACTAACTTTAGTTTTTGAGAAAGCCAGACGAACCTAACATTTTTTCGTTATTAAAAGTATCCCATGCCTCAATCCAGGTCATAAAATATATAGTACCAAATTTCGTTAAAATTTCACATTTATAACATTACTGGCTGTGCCTCGCGGTGTTACTCGCGGTTTATTGGGGATATTTTTCCGCAGTAAAACGTAGTCTATGTGTTAATCCAGGGTGTCAGCTGACTTCATACCAAATTGTATTAAAATCGCTCCAGCCGTTTAGACGTGAAGAAGTAACAAACGTACACACTCACAAACTTTCGCCTTTATAATATAAGTGTGTCTATCGGTCGCCCGCGACTTCAACCGCGTTAACTTTGGTGTTTTGGAAATCTCACAACAACCTAAACATTATTCTGCGATAAAAAATATTCTATGTCTCAATACAGGTCATAAACTAAATGCGTATCAAAGTCTTTTCATAATTTAGTAATAAACATACAAACTTGCACATTTATAATGTTAGTAGGATACTAGCATGTAGGTATCTACGTTTATTTAGTAGAAGATCTGTAAATCTCTCCGCTGAAGAGCAAACTGCATATCCGTCGATGATTTTCGGGACAGTTTCTTAGTCGCCTTTTAATAAAGCAGTAGTCGATCAGTAAATTGCTTGGTAGTTATCGTTTCCATCTGTCAAAAACGCTAGCGAATAGAGCTACTAATTAGACCGTGTCACTAATACAGCTTACATAATAAAGTGGAAGCACTCCTCTAGAACATTTCACAAGGCGTGTACGCAATGCATTGTGACGCGCCAGTAATTCTAAATAAAAATATGAGAAATACCTACACATTATATTTTTTCATAAATCAACAACTAATATGCTTAAGCTTAAACCGCATTTTATATTTAATTTCCGTCAGTAAGTTGGTGTTTTGCTGGTAGTTTGTCCACAAAATGTGAAGCGGACGAACCCCTGGCGCGTGTATATATCGAATATTATATCTTTAGGATATTAATTTTTACTATTTCTACCTAAATAAGACACAATAATTATCGAGCCATAGTTAGATCATACATTATAGTAAAATATTTTTTTTATGTAATTAAAGGTCACAATTAAAGGTGCAATTTCACCTGCGTTAATATAAGGGAAAAGGTTATAATAGTGAGTAAAACTTAAGAGATGGGCGTATGCCGTCGCAAACTTATTTAATAGAAATTTAAAGGGGAATAATTCCCTAAGGATTTTTGTATAACCTTAATCATTTACGCAACGCACGCAACGGAATCTTGGGAGATTAATTCCAATTGTTTTTGCAACATTTTACATAATTGCTCCGCTCCTACTGGTCGCAGCGTAATATAATATAGCCTTAAGCATTCCTCAATAAATGCACTTTCTAACGCAATTAGACTTTTTAAAATTAGACCATTAGTAACTGAGATTTGCGTGTTTAACCAAAAAAATGGTGTTTTCGGTATAACGGGTCCTAAAGTAGCAACATTTTTTTTACTATTAGTTAAATAAATTTTCATGGAAGATTAACTATAAAAAAAATCATTGTGTATAATACAAGCCTGAGATCAAAACATATAGTCTACACTACTGCTCTACACCGAAGCGAAGCGAGGGCGGGCTACTAGTTACTAATATAATGATTTCAAATAAGTCGTCAAATATTTTAGGGATCAACAGTACTATTCTGTTAGAACAAACTCACTTTTCACCACGAAATCCAAGTTGTTATTTGAAATTTGAATAGGAATTTCAAATAAATATCAAATTACATGCGCGAATTTCGCGGTACAAAGTGATTTTGTTTTTACAGAATTATAATGCTGGCTATGGCTAAAGTTGACAATGGAACTCCATCTAAATAATTATATTTTATGTAGTTCTGTTTTAGTTAATTTTTCATCAGCTTTCTAAAACCTATTTTAATCGACTAAAATTACTAGCTTAATAATGATAAACTCAACCGGTTTCTGAATAAATACAAGTGACAAATATTCATGGCTCGGTAGGATACGAAGATGTATAATGAGAGACAAACCAGAGAGAAAAATTTGCAAGCCGCGCAGACATCTGACAATCGAGTTAGCAGCCTCGCAACAGGAGCCGTAGCTATCTGTCTATCTGACGTCTAGATAGGGCGCGAAACTTTTTTTTTATAAAGATATCGTGGGGCGTTTTGCTATAAAGTTTGAGGTTTGCGTATTTCAATAATATTGATTTCATATGTCGTATTGATATTTCGTGTTTGATTGAATTTGTCATGATAAATTAAGAACAAAATATAATAGGGCCTTTAATGTTATGTATAATCTTATTATATCGTTATGTCGCTAGTTGAAATACCTACCTATAATTGAACATTCAACCGTTTCCCTGTTACGGTTCATGAGGTAGATAGACAGACAGGCAAACAGCGGAAGCTAATTAATACAGTTCAATTTTGATCTTTTGCACACAAAGCTATAATGTTATACTCGTGTATGGGCGATTCTCTATAAGCTCGTAATCGGCTGTCCTGGCCGACTTTTTCAAAAAAATATTTAATATTTTTTTAAAATCACTCCTATTAAAACTTTTGGGTCTGTAACTTTACGGGCCCATTGTTTTTAGAACCATTACTATTTTAAGTTTTTTTTAGACATGATAAAAGCTGTAAAAAACACTCCCCTAGCTGTCCCCATTACTGTATTCCCAGCTAGATATGAGAATCACGAAGAATATTGGTTATATAGAGCATGTTCTTAAATTATACATGAGAAATTAAACTTTCTTGGCGTTACTTTTCTATTTCTTATAACAAGCCTTTGATGCTTCGCTAACTCAGTTACGGATTTTTCCAAGATATTATTTTCAATCATCGAATAGCAAAATTGAATGAGAAGCAATCTCGGCAATGTTATCAACATCATTACATACCAATCGCGTAGCCTTCAAAAAGCCATTTAAATCGTTCCCCCGAATAGAAACAAGCGAATACGATTTCGACTCGATGCAAAGTAATCGGTTAGAATCGAGTCAGCAACGCTAAATTGAGTAACTCGATTTGCCGTTCCGTCGTCCGCGACTTACCTAGGCACGGTTTTTTTTTTCTCTTCTTTTTTTAAAACATGGCGGAGTGCAAATCGCTTTTGGTCTCTTTTACAGACACTAGTAGGTACGGTGTGAATCGGAAAAACGTGTGAATTTCCAACGAATTCATTGAACACTAAAGCTTTTGGATGTAAGTACTTTTGTGCTTTATTGTGTGCACTGTCTTTTGTTTTTCAATTCACTTTAATAGCACGCGCAGACAAGGGATTTTTGCCCGCGGTATTTATTGTCCGCCAAAATAGATCACTTACAGCTGCATAGAATTACGCACACGGCGGACTAAAAGTACCGCTTACAAGAACTCCCCAGAGTAACCGATACCGACTAGATAGGACAAAAGTACGCGGCTGTCGCCATAAAAATAGAACTTATGTGACTAGGCGAAACAACGAATACATTGAATTTCACAAGTATATCACTTCAAAGTTCACTGTATGCGTTGAGTCTGAGAATATTGGGAAGAGAATACTGGGTTCTCTATCGAGTATTCTCTTCCCAATATTCTCAGCAAAAGTCCTTCGTCTGCGCAGTCTATTAAAAAGGTAAAAAAAATACATTTGATTTATTCTAGTTGGTCATGTGATTTATTCTATAATATCAGGAGTTTATTTAGATAAAAAAGTATAAAACTTACAACACACCTATTTATCTTTTGTTATAATAGTTATGTATGATATAATTGCGGTAGGTTGTATGTATGTAAGCCCGAGACAAAGTCGAGGGTTTAACATAGACACGCATGAGTTGGTAAATTGCAATTCCGCACTAATGTCATACAAAGTTAATTTTCAACACATTTGCGAGAAAACAGTACCTATACATAATTTTAGTAACTAAGCAAACTTTTTCAAAAGCAAAATGGCGCGCATTTCTCAATCGCGCCACGTGCGGGTGGTAAAAATAAGAACTACATCACATAGCCTCTTTTTCTTTTTAGAATTAAAGTGAGACAAAGGTATAGATTGAGTCATTTTCAAGGAGGTTCAACCGAATTAAAAAAAAAAAACGGAAAGGATACGCACGGCGCGATGTATGGGAGCGTGCAGTTAAACGTTTTACCACACGCTCTGTTGTAGCCCGTAATTTTTAACTTTCGAATAATGTATAACTCGAACTCCGTAAATGCATTTTTCGAGCAAATGTGTTGAAATACAAGTTTATCTTGTCTTTCTAAGCCCTCTGAAACTTTTGAATGCTTTGAACACATCATCGGCGAATATGTCAGGCTTTTCCAGAGCTGCAAAATGGCCGCCAACGTTCTTAGTTGTCGTACCAACTAGGTTGGTAAATTTCCATTTGATCATAAACTCTGGCATGAAGAATATCTCGTGTCTCAATCTCAGAGCCCAAGTCGGGACCTCCGTCGGAATCCTGTGAAAAGTTTATAATTGGAAGGAGAACGTCGATATTGAGAAATCGTTGTTTGTCAGAAATTTGGTTACTCAAGTTCATTGTTGTGAGCGCCGCTGTTCTTTTGTGAGAACGCCTTTTAGAAATATTTGAATTGTAATCTTGAAGAGCATGGCGTATAGAATAATTAAAATAAAATCCAAAATAATAGTTTTAACAAAAGTTTATGCTAAAAACTACGATATTCATTTTGTTCTTCCTAGATATAGAGGTTTTAGAAATCTAGTTTATTTTATATTTACATAGAAATATTTAATTAAATTAGAGGTTTTTAAATTTTCTTCCTAAAATTGAAGCTATTGACATAAGAATAAAGAAGTAATTTTACTTACTTTTCCATATCAATTTCCATTTCCTTGTTCCTCGAGTTTTCTTTGAAGATCCTGATGGAAGTGGTGATACTCCCAGTCATCCAGTATATCATGATGTTGTCAATGAGGTCGTCAGCATTGTAAGCGTCCAGTCCGCCGTTGTCTTTGAACTTGTTCTGAGGGTCGGTGCCTATCACAAACTTCTCAACGATGTAAGCTGCTAAACCCGCTGGTGACTCCCTGAGAGCAACTCCTGGAACGTAATTAAAATAATATTGGAAGAATTGGACATTGAAACAGGGATTGACCGCTTAAGTGCAAGCCAGACTCGCATAAGAAGGGTTTCTTACAATCGTACAAGATTTATTTGCATTATAGCCATTCTTATTATTTTTTTAGGGTTCCGTTCTTCAAAAGGAAAAAACAAAACCCTTACAGGATCACTTTGATTTCCGTCTGTTCGTCAGTCCGTCTGTAGCTCCGTTCAATCTATGTATTTGTATTTCAAGGCCCTTTTTCTCGAGAATACGTGGAGATATCGAGTTAAATTTATACGGAACCCATGGTGGGCGAGTCCTACTTGCACTTTTCCAGTTTTTTATTATTTATTGTTACAGCGACAATAGGATTAGGTACGCACTAAGCGAACATAAGGACAAACTACTTGTTTCAGTTAATGAGGCATGAGTCTCATTCAAGCTGTACAGCCTGTTGGCAAGACTCAGTTCGATATTTCTATTGTTCACTTCTTGAGTAATTCGAAATCCTAAGAAGGTAAATTTAAATCATTACCTAGAGTATCAGGCTTTGTGTGTTGCAGATGTAAGTATCCAGACTCTTCCAGATAAAAATTGACCTTATCCTCTACCGGGTAAAGTCTATCTGTGTAATCCTTTTCCACAAGACTTGGCCAAACCCCTCCAAAGACCCAAACTAGAATGGGTAAATCGGTGAACATAACTGCCATATTTGTATGAAGGCCAAGGACTTCACTTGGGAAAAGTGTAGCCATTCTCGTGCCAATTTTGTGGCCTAAATCTCCTCCCTGGACGTAAAACTGTTTGAAACCAAGCCTGTGCATCAAATTTCTCAGCACGATAGCCATTGGAGTTTCCGAGAGACCTGGTCTGACGGGAGCCTGAAAAAAAGTTGAAGGTTGGTTTATACACACACATAATTTGTTTGTTTAATAATTAAATAAACAAATAAAAGAAACGGTGAGCGTGAATTAGAGACACTCTATCATCGCATGTGTCTGTGTGGAATGGCAACCGCTTACCATCAGTGAAAGATTGATAGAAAATTTACTTTAGATTTTTATTATATTAATGAACAATTGATGCGAAGAAAAAATGCTTCATCCAGTGCATGGGTTTACACTTTCATCATCATCATCATCATCAGCCTATTAATGTCCCCACTGCTGGGGCACAGGCCTTCCCTATGGATGGAATAGGTAGATTGGGCCATGACCCACCACGCGGGCCCAGTGCGGATTGGTGGGTGCTAACGACTGCAGTTGCAGCCAGGACCGACTAGAACGGCTTAACGTGCCTTCTGAAGCACGGAGGAGCTCGAGATAGTAATTTTTGGTCACCCATCCAATGACCGACCACTGCGAAAGTTGCTTAAGTTCAACGATCGCAGCCGAACGCGCTAACCACTTGCGCCATCGAGCTCCTCGTTTACACTATGGTGGGGTATTATTTATGATCAGATTTTTTAATATTATCTTATCATGTTTGTATTAAGGCATGTAGGTATAACATTTGCTATCTAGCGTTTAAACCAATGTGAGTCGGTTACTAAATGGTGTATTGTGACGACACAGAATTATAAAAAGATTTTCTATATTTTTTTATTTTCGTCACTTAAATAACGAATTCATCTCGTAAAAGGTTTACGCCTATAATATTCGTCAATCACATTGACTCGGATTCTGGAGTATATGATCTTCGATCACTAACGAAGATAACTGAACCAAGATCACATCTTTGTGAGATCGGAAAAGTCTATCCTCCGTGACCACCCAGAAAAACTTCATACCTGAGAATATCCAAATCCGGGGAGACTTGGTGCAATGATTTCAAATACAAAGTCATATCCTGCTCTCGGTGAGGTCAATCGAGGTATAGCTTCATAGAATTCTCTCACTGAACCTGGCCACCCATGGAGGAGGAGCAATGGAATTACCTGAAAAATATTATAATGAAGAAGCAATTTGCAATCGATATACTGATAAATGAGACAACACTGCAAATACTGATCTCAATAGCCAATAAGTAACTGGGCACATGTGATATAAAAATCATAAACATCTAAGCTAAATAACTATAAACCCCCGACTAATTTAAGTAATTGAATTTACAAGTAGTCTTTATAGAGCATGTTGGTAAAAGCATTTCAAAATTTAAAATCTATTTAATCAAACTAGCTACAGAGCTTCATAAAATATTTTCAAGCTTTAAAATTACAAAAGGCTACTTACCTATAGCTTTACAGTATGGAAATAATAACGCATAAGGTGAGAAAGATAAGATTGGCTGGTACGACATATAGCTCCAATGCAACAGTTATCTTTGCATTTCTAGGCCACTCGTATATGGGATGGAGTAATAAGCTGGTTCATATATAAAAATACAAACCTTAATATCTTCATCGACTTTCGGCTTCACGTGAATAAAATGTATGTCCAATCCTTGCACATTAGTCTTGAAATGATTGAATTTGTTCAAATATTGTTCCCTCCTTTGAAAATTGTATTTGAAGATCCAATGTGAGAAGAATTGCCCGTAGCCATCCGAGTTGACACCGTACGTCCAAGTTGCGTTTTCGAAAGATTTTGTTTTCTTAAGTCTTCTATAGTCGTCAAACCTTCTTCTCAAATCTGTTAGCATCTAAAAATATTGGAGGAAGTTTCATCATTAATTTCAGCTTCATAATCAGAATTTCCATTGCTGGGAGCTTCCTATAGACTGAATCTCGTCTCTGGCTGGCTGTACCGTACCAAGCATGCCTTATGCTACTACCTATCCCAGGATTGGTAGCTGGGTAGCTGAATCACTGCAGATAAACCAGGGCAACAAGCTCAACGTGACTAAACTGTCGAAACTTTTTTTCAAAGAGTTTGAGGTCATTCTGGCTTATGTACCCCTCGCTCGACTTACGCAAAACCGTCGCGCAATGTATAGGATTTATCAGAATTGGTGCTTTCGAATATATTGGCTTAAATAACTTGAGTTTACAGTGGCTCGTGAATTATTGTGTACTATATTGATAAATTTTCATGTGCAAGGTGACTCTTCCAGTATTTTAAACATACTGTTGGGGATAGAAATATAATAATAATAATTGTGTGGTGTGCGAAAAGTACACTTTTAAGTACTTATTCCATTCACTCTTATGAAACATTATTACTATTTATTATCGTAGGACTAGAAAATGAAAATGCAAAATCTAACTTTTTGCAGAATACTGCATAGGTATTAGGGACCTACATCATGTTTAAATTTATTGTTTAATTATGAATAGTAGGTCACTGGAAATAAAGTGACTGATACTGCCTCGACCTTATGTACTATAATTTTTAATTTTATTAATTTAAAATTCTTACAGACTCACTGAACACGATGCGGAACGGCCTTATAGACGTGTCCTGGTTTAACTTAGTGTCGTTGGGTCCCCACCACGCGTCTAAGTCCAGATTAGGCAAATCAGGTACATGTACCAAGGACATATAAGCCTTGTAAGATAAGAAGACCACTAATACCGCCACGAGACCCGACACTAATGAACAGCACTGCAAAATAAAAGTACTTCAGTAAAACTAATGAGCATTATATACAAAAATCTGGTAGTGGTACCAAGTACCCACAAGAATAAATTATCGACAACTTTTTCTGTGGTCAATGAAAATGAGAACGTCTATAACTCGGTGTTACCCATAGAGCAACGCGTTCGACGCGGGCAGGAGGGGAGTAGCCATAGTGAAACAATAATACTGAAATCATTCTGCCACTTTTTGCGGGGTAAGGAAGATGCACACAAATGCAGTCCGATATAGGTAGTTACGCAAAAAACGAAATTGGAATTACGACACTCATCAATAAAAATGACAACGCTAAAACGTGAATAGATGAAACTTCACATTTTTTATTGACAGATCTGAAATTTGTACTGGCGAATCGATTGTTTTGTCACACACGTCCGAAGATTGAATTTCTATAAAAAATATTAATTTTCTGTTTAAAAGTGATTACATAGAAATAATATGTTAATAATTCTTCTTTCGTATGAAATGTTACACCATCCCTTTTTAAGTTTGATGTTACAAATCTGTTTTATCAGCAAATTACTGAACAATTTGTCATTTTTTGAGCTCTACTCAAACTTACACTCTCGCGACTTGAGTCAGTCTAGTGAAATATCCTACATAATATCATAAATAGCAACAAGTTTTGTTTTTGAGAAATTCAACAGAGGGGAATGCTGTAAATGCCTTCTCCCCTCCAGGCCATGTCGGCCGCGTTGCTCTATTGTGTTACCATATCTAGTGATTGGTTACATACTCTTATTTCATTAATCACTGAAAAAAATACAATAATTGGTTCTTAGTGTCGCCGTACACGGGCCACGCGCCACAGCCACAAACGCCGCCGCCGGCATATTTCTTGTAGTTTTCATACATTTTATATGGACTCGCCACACACGGTACGCCGCACAGTGGGTGAAAAAAAGAGGTCCCCTTTCATAGGATTTTTGAAAAAATAAAAATGTATATTATCCGTTTAAGGTATGCGGTTTTATTGGACATATCAGTACATTGAATAATAAAATAGTTTGGGGAATTTCCTTTTAATCTAACACCATAAAGCACGGGCTTTAGAGTTTCAAATATATGAAAACGGAATTTGTTTTGCTCATAACTTGTCTCGGTCTTCTACGGTCAAGCTGAAACTAATAGGGATTATTACCGGGTCTGTTACGAAGCCATGTGACCTTTGACCTTCACCCCGGACGGCCCCGTTCAAAAGATACGAATTTTTCAAAATGCTTATTAGGGTAATTTTGCTTTACGGGGTTATGTGTCTCAATAAACAGTTTGTTTATGTTTCTTGCCCAGCATTTAGTTATTAATACAGCGCAGATTATTATCTAATAAAACTATACATATATATATAGATAACGACACCATACAACTTAACTTTAAATAAAAGCGTCCTTATTCAAAAGATATGGAATTAATATAAATAGATAAAAGAAATAGTTTTAAGAAAAAGAAAACAAGAATACAATATTGTAAAGAATTACAATGAAGTCGTTTACAGCCTACAATTTAATCTTTTGTTTGACAATCGCTTAAAAGCCGCGCGCCATTAATGAGAGCATCATTACATATAAACAATGCAAACTCTATTGTTGCAGGTTTTGAGGAATTCAAAGGGTTACCCACAGTCATTACCTGCCGTTGTTTGCCTATAATAATTACTGATTATTTGCTTTTATTGTGGGTAGATGAATAAATAATACGTTGTTATTATTATTATTCAACAATGACTTCGATTATAATAAATACGGAGTACACCTATATTTCATTTCACTTATCATTATTGATTCGTACCGTAACGTTCTCTTTGCTCAAATTTTAAGTTGCTCAGAATGGAAGGGCTTGTGTCTAATCTTGACGTATATATATATATGAGGCAAAAATCTTTTAGTGCCGACATGTTATTTCAAAAAGTACTCGATTCAGTGAGATTTTCATTATCTGAAGAACAAAAGACAACTCATAAAACGTTTTGTGCTACATATACGAGTAATCTTAAACGCAAATGGAAGTCAGCTAATTACACACAAGGGAATTTTATAAAGAAGTTTGCTGACTGGTTGGACCAAGAAATAAAATGGCCAGAGTTTGTTTCACTAGACATAACTGAAGAACAATCAAATATTATGACGAGTTTTGAAGATCCTTCAACAAGTATTTCAACAGTAACAAGACCTAGTTTATCAACGGAATGCACTGTTCCTCATAGTGTAGCTGTGTCGACATCAACCGCTACATTTAGTCCTCGAAAAGAATTTGCCAATTTGAGTCCACTGCAAAAAAGAAGAAGAACTGAAAATCTCATTGCCGAAAACGATTTTGAGACACTTGCTTATGCCCTGGCTAGGAAAGCGGAAAATGAAAACCAAACGGACTTTGTAGAATTAGTGAAGCATTTGATTAAAAAGCCTGAAGATGCGCCAATGCTGCGAGCCTGCCTGAAATCGACGAAACGAACTTGTCATACCGATAAGGCACTCGGTATTTCAACATCACTGAAATTATCGAAATGGCAGTATATTACATTGAGGCAGACAATGAGAGACATGGGGTGTGATATACTTCCATCGTATGATGCTTTGAAGCAAGAGAAGAAGGAGTGCTACGAAAAAGAAGACATGGTAATAACTGAGACTGAAGTTAAACTTAAACTTCAGTCTATTTTAGATATTACGGTCAAGAGACTATTAAAAACTCTGGAAACTGATTTAACTGGCAGTAATTCGACTCTTATCAGTAAATGGGGGTTTGACGGTGCATCTGGGCAAAGCAACTACCAACAAAAAATTGACGGCGATGATTCAAGCATCTTCATGTGTTCATTTGTGCCGTTAAAACTGGTGAGAGATGGTACTGATGAAATAATATGGGAAAACCCCAAAGCGTCTTCAACGTTTTACTGTCGACCCATTTATTTTAAGTTTGCTAAAGAGAACGATTTGAATGTTAAAGAAGAAATGACTTCAATTGATACGGAAATTGCTGCTCTACATCCAACTGTTATCGATGGTGCAAATGTAAAACACGTTCTGCATATGACGATGATTGATGGTAAAATAACTTCACATTTATCAGATACATCCACAGCTACATGCGATATATGCAAAGCAAAACCAAAAGAAATGAATGATATCGACAAGGTTACTCAGAGAACCCAGTCTGTAGACATGTTTAAGTTCGGTCTGTCTTCCCTCCATGCACGAATTAGATGCATGGAATGTATCTTACATATTGCTTACCAACTCGACTTCAAGAAATGGCAAGCTAAGGGCGAAGATTTGAAGCAACAGTTAAGCCAAAGAAAAAAGGCTATTCAAGAACAATTCCGGACTGAAACGGGGCTACTTGTGGACGTTGTTAAACAAGGGGCTGGTACAAGCAACGATGGAAACACAGCAAGAAGATTTTTTGTTAATCCTCAAATTACTGCTCAAATAACGGGTGTTGATGAAGAACTCGTTAGAAGATTTGGAGTGATTCTTCAGGCTATCTCATGTGGAGAGTTTGTGGACGTGGAAAAATTCCGCCAATATTGTGCTGCTACAGCACGCAAATATGTCGAGCTCTATGAATGGTATTATATGCCCTCAAGCGTGCATAAATTACTCATTCATGGTGCCGATATAATAGAGCACAATAACTTTATACCAATCGGCAAGCTCTCTGAAGAGGCCTCTGAAGCTCGTAACAAAGATTTTAAAAACTTCAGAACCTTCCACTCGCGTAAATCTAGCAGGATTGCAACAAATGAAGATATTATCAATAATTTGTTAATATCGTCTGACCCATACCTATCAAGTTTCAGGCCTAAAATATGTCAACGAAATAAACCTCTCACAAATGAAGCTAAATCATTATTATTAACTTCTTGTGAAGATAAGGAAAATATAGAGTTTGTAGATGTAGGTAATGTATCTGATTATGACTTTGATTAGTATGTGTTCTTTCCCTCAAATCAAATTATATCAAACCTTGTATTTTTATTTTTTTGTATCTTTGTATCATATTAATATAAACAGTTTACATATTTAAGAACTGTTGTAGCCAATTTGAGTTCTACTAATCTTTTATACTTTAGCTTGTATGTGTGTAGTAATTTATACAGTTGTGGCTTCCTTATTATGCATTATTTAATTTATGATATCAAGCTTAGTTAGTAATTTAAGTTTTGTAAATAAAAATATTGATGTTAATAATTTTGTTTTATTCATAATGTAAATAGTTTATTTTCTCGTTTGGCAGTAACATATCAGAATCTCCCTTACTACATTTACTAATATTAATAACCAGCTAGTTTATCTGGAAAAACACTTTGTTCATTTTAAGCTTAGTCAGTTAAAGTTCTAGGTATCCCAAAATAGACATATTTGATCAAACCCTTTCTTAGATAGACATTGTAAGTGTAAGTATGTTTGTTTGACAAAATTAATTATTATAGGCAAACAACGGCAGGTAATGACTGTGGGTAACCCTTTGAATTCCTCAAAACCTGCAACAATAGAGTTTGTATTGTTTATATGTAATGATGCTCTCGTTAATGGCGCGCGGCTTTTAAGCGATTGTCAAACAAAAGATTAAATTGTAGGCTGTAAACGACTTCATTGTAATTCTTTACAATATTGTATTCTTGTTTTCTTTTTCTTAAAACTATTTCTTTTATCTATTTATATTAATTCCATATCTTTTGAATTAGGACGCTTTTATTTAAAGTTAAGTTGTATGGTGGCGTTATCTACTGTGTAGTTTTATTAGATAATAATCTGTGTTATATTAATAACTAAATGCTGGGCAAGAAACATAAACAAACTGTTTATTGAGACACATAACCCCGTAAAGCAAAATTACCCTAATAAGCATTTTGAAAAATTCGTATCTTTTGAACGGGGCCGTCCGGGGTGAAGGTCAAAGGTCACATGGCTTCGTAACAGACCCGGTAATAATCCCTATAAGTTTCAGCTTGACCGTAGAAGACCGAGACAAGTTATGAGCAAAACAAATTCCGTTTTCATATATTTGAAACTCTAAAGCCCGTGCTTTATGGTGTTAGATTAAAAGGAAATTCCCCAAACTATTTTATTATTCAATGTACTGATATGTCCAATAAAACCGCATACCTTAAACGGATAATAAACATTTTTATTTTTTCAAAAATCCTATGAAAGGGGACCTCTTTTTTTCACCCACTGTGCGCCGGTGGCCCCCACACGCTACAAATCGTCGTTGCACGCTTCTTGTGGCCCGCACCGGCCACTTAATGCGCCGATACATAACGCCGCCACACTTCACTCGCGCGATTCCCCACCCCTCTTTCCCTTACCTTAGTCGGCCGCTGTTGCGCGCTTCAGTCACTTTAATAGCCGCTTCTAGCTTCTCGTGGCGGCGTTTGTGGCTGTGGCGTGTGGCCCGTGTGCGGCGACACTTATTGGTCATTTGGGCCAATAACTTAAAACACAAAAGAGCTTTCAATATTCAATTTGAATCAAGTATAATTTCATTGCAATGGTACATAGTGTCTGTTTTCAAAGTACTACTCTGAAATCATCGGTTCGATTACCGGTAGAGATTATAGCAGTTTGCCTGTCTGCGATTACAGAAGTTAGGCCCACTTTCGCAATGGCTGGTCATCAGATAGCTGTCCAAAAATGTATTATCTCCAGATTTTTCGGACTCAGGAAGACTAGGAATCTATGTAAACATCTTACGGTAGCTCCATACATGGCTATTTGCATTACCATTTTGTGAAAACAACTCTATATGTGGAAATAATTGCTTTATTTGCACTTCGTATACGAAACCGTCCTTAGATCGCATATTTTTAAATAAGTACGGTAAAAAGATTGTGGAATACTATATAATTATTATACCTTATTATTGTAATCACGAATAAAAACAGCCAAGTATGGAGCCATCATAAGATGTAGAATAAGAGTAAACTATATTGTGATATGAGAATAACACTAAATATTTAATATTTAGTTTTAAACTTTCATGGCGCTTGCAAAAGTGCTTAGATATCGAAAACTTATATAAAACAACACCATCGAGGAGCTCGATGGCGCCAGTGGTTAGCGCGTTCGGCTGCGGTCGTTGAAGTTGAGCAACTTTCGCAGTGGTCGGTCATTGGATGGGTGACCAAAAATTTACTATTTCGAGCTCCTCCGTGCTTCGGAAGGCACGTTAAGCCGTTGGTCCCGGCTGCATCTGCAGTCGTTAGCACCCACCCGCACTGGGCCCGTGTGGTGGGTCATGGCCCCATCCTTCTATAGGGAAGGTCTATGCCCCAGCAGTGGGGACATTATTAGGCTGATGAAAATGCAGTGAACTTTACGTACCATAGATGTATCATAGACAAATAAAAAAAAAAACCGATACGACTGACTCCTATGATACAGAAAATGTTATATGTAGTAGAAAAAAAAGCTTTTTTAATATTAAATCGACTTACGTAATTAACATTTGAATTTTTTTTAGCTTTAATCGAAGCAGACTTTTTTTCAATTCTCTCCTTTTTTGACTTAACATTCTCTTTTGCCTTTTTACCCATCTTCTGTCACACTTACACAAACACAAATTTATCACAACTAAACAACTAATAGCACTGAGTAACATTCGCGCGGATATATTTTCTGTTATCTTGTGATAAGTAACGATAGTGAACGATAATTGTGTCTAAATTTATCGATAAATTGTTTATTTTAATTCTGTACGACGATTATGATTTTGTTTGAGTGTGTATGCTGTTGGTCGCAGATGACCTTTACAGCGTCACCGGGTTTGGGGATGGCGAGATCCTAAGGAGACCTCAAGCCGAGAATTGGCAAGTGCCTCTAGAAGTATTCCAGGCGGATAGCATCTCCCCACCTCTCCGTCTGGAGCCTCTAGACCACTAGAACCTGAGGGGGGACATTTATGAAGGACAAAAATTAAAATCTATATATCACGCACGCTCACCCCTTTTCCTATCCTACTTATTCATACTTATATTATAAATGCGAGAGAGAGTCTGTCTTTATTCATGTTTAAATAGCTGAATCGATTTAGATAGTTTGAGTCTCGAGAGGGATGAAAAGGGAGTTGAAGTTTGTATGAGACACCAAATTTTCAACGTAGACAAATTCGCGTTCTAGTTAATTATAGATCTCAAAGTTTGTGTGTTTCGATGTATAATAATTGATCACCTTCACTTAAATTGCTGTGTTATACAGTATAAATACAAAGTGTTTTTTACATTAAGTACTTGTGGCCGCCCAAGACTTCGACCGCGTTAACTTACATATTTTGAGAATTCCTCAGGAACTTAATATGTTTTCGGGATAAAAATTATCCTATGTCTCAATCCAGGTAATAAATTATATGTGCGTGACAAATATCATCCAAATCTGTTCAGCCACTTTTGCGTGAATGAAACAAACATAGAAACATTCACATTTATAGTATAAGTTGAATTAGTAGGATTTTAGTAGTTATCATTTCAATAGTAAAGTAGTATAGAGCAGACTCAACTCCGCTAGATTCACGAGCATGATGCATGAGTCAGCCATCTCTAAACTATACAAAGAAATCAAGAGTTTCATATTGTTCTCGTAAACAATACTCAATGTATATGTAAGATCTTCGCATTTTTTAATATAAACTCGCAAGCTCTGTTAAGGTGAAACAGATTAGCTGGTGGCTAGTCATAAAAGCGGCCACGCGGAAGGCGGTGCGATAAAAAGACTTACGGGCATGTAAGCTAGGGCTGGCGACTGGTGGATTTACAAAAATAAAAAAATAAAAATCAACACATAGTTACTTTCAGCTTAAGTTCTTAATTAAAATTAAGGCTTAATCATGAATAAGGTCCATTTGCACAACAGTTCTTAATTCCAATGTATAAGTTAATCATGTTCTAACCTCATTCTATTTCCATTTGACTTTAAACAATTGATTAAGATGGAATTATGTTTCAGACACAATTAAACTTTTATTTGACGTAAGAACGTTGCTGAATTTGGGCATAAGACATCATATATTGTTTTAAACTTTCATGGTCACTATCATTATAGCTATTAACGGGATTGTTACCATGTACCTTGTTTTATATCGGAGAATAGCTATAATAAGACATCATTCCCTCTTTGTCAATTGTTTAAATTCAAATAATGATAGATGAGGCCTAAACATGATTAAATTTAAATTAAGAACTTTGGTGCCTCTATTATGGAAGGTTGATATCACTAAAGTTTTTTTTTCAGGTGCATATAAATCGCATTGAAAAGGTACAAAAAAGTTTATAAATCTCTCAACTACCGTATTAATTGCATGAATGGTTTCTATGATGAATCCCTAAAAAGCAACAAAATGTTACTCTGTGACCGACGCAAAATGTTTGATATAGTATTTTTCTACAAAATATTGAACAATATGGTAGATTCGCCTACATTGCTCAGTAAAATTTCGTTCTTGTCACACATTCGGCTTCCAGTGCGACCCTCACGTAAGCTTCCATTATTTGTTCCTCCTAAATTACATAAAAAATATACACGTAACTCTTTTATTCATCGTTCCACCAACACTTATAATAGGTTAATCCACGATATTGACATTTTCCACAATTCTTTAAACTCTTTTAAGCAACAACTAAAGATAAAATTAAGATATAAATAAATTCACTGTTTGTTTTTGTGTTAAGGCTGTAGAATAGTTAGTGTTCTTGTTATATTTTTCTCATTCACTTTTCTTAATGTACACTACGGTACGACGAGGATCTTTGTGAGTGTGTGTGACGGTTCGGGGGGGCGCCGCTATCTGCGTAAACGACATACAAAAAAAAATGTAACATTTGTGTGGTGGCGGCGATAGTTACGATTTTCGTTCGCATTGGTGCGGATCCTTGTCGGTCTGTAGAGGAAGTAAGTGCGACCATAGAAAAAATATTGTAAATATCACTTTTCTTCACTATAGGTCTTTACTCATAACTGATGTATAATTATGTAATATACCTGTAAACGACTGTTTGCTGCCAAAATAATTCGCATTCCAGAGGAGGCCAATGTCTGTGTGAAGAACGCGTGCATTTTCCTACCTGTTATAAATGGTTATATGTATTTAAGTAAGTATATACTTATCTAGCTGCCATGGCTTAAGCCAAACTTAGTTTGGGGCTAGATAATGTTGTGAAAAGTGTCCAACAATTGGTGCCGGCTTAGTGGGACGGCAGCACTTCTACTTTCTGCTGCAATGGTTCTGGGTTCGAATCCCAGTAGGTATTCATTGGTGTAATTTAGATATGATAGGTATGAACCATAAAGCAAAGCAAAACGTAAATTATCTATCTGGAAAAATAGTGCTAGTAGTATCACATTTCTTAATCACAGTATATAAAAATTAACAAAGCCTACATCTCACTAGCGAAGTTCCTAATACTACACAATATAAGTTATCCAACTTACATCTGTTCGATGAATTTAGCCTATAAGCGAATACCATTTAAATGAAGTCTATGTTCCTTAGACAGACATAAGAAACTCCGTCGAGAGATCCTCTTCATTTAAAATACTCAAGAGCATTTCGCGTTTTCCGGCTTGAGGGAGGTCCCTAAGATACATTGTAATTCATTACGTTAAAATTCTGAGAAACAGTAATTTGTATGAGTAAGTCCTTGCTTTGAGTGTTTGTTTAACTTAAAATCTCTTACAATGTGAATAGATAGCGCTGCCTTGCAGTCTAAAGGCTCCTCTTTACAATGGCCCATGATGGGCGATTAAAAAAGTGGCCATCGACGCCGTCATGAAGGTCGCGGTAGCATAATTGGTCAGTGCATCCGCCCGAAGAGCGGTGGGTGCGGGTTCGAGTCCCGCCTACTTCCTAGACCGCGTGGTTTTTTTTCTAGTCAAATTTTCTTTAGATTAAAAAATTGAGCAGTTAATGATAATTTTTTTTTTTCTTGAATGTGTTGACCCTAATATCGCTTTGCGGCCTGATATATAGTAGCTAGAGGTTAATGTACTGAGAACACTAGCTGTGTTACACGGAGAGGAATAAATGAATAAAAAAATGGTATGAGTAAGGTAAATTTATGCAAATAGGAATATACTTTATATTAGGTCCTAGTTTTGTAAATTTAAAACATTTTTTAGAAAAGTATATAATCATTATATAGTCGTGTATTCTTGCCGTGTCTTCGTTAACTTCAGTTTTACGTTATTTACTAAAAATCTTTAAAATTCTGAATTTCTTTGAACTTTGAATCGGCAGAGACCTTCGGAAGTTATGGCGTGACCAAGGAAAACAAGGGCTAATTTTATGTAAATATAGATTTAACAAAATATTAAAAATATGTAACACAATTATCAGATTTTTATTTACCTTTGGGTGAGCCAGCAATATGGTAAAAAATAAACTAGTAAAGTGCCTCAAAGATTATTCAAGCTTACAAAAGCGGCTACCCGATCGAGCGGTGAATATGCGAAAATATTTTCATGACTTTAAAATATGAGTCCAGGTAAAATGCGCCACGAATTTGTTGTCAGTCGACAGATAAGCACAACACCCTGGTAGATGCAATGTATAGGTAATGTCTGATGCAGATACTTTATTTGTAAAGCGTACAATAAAGTTAGCAAATAAATGGCGGCAGAATATTTTCTTTTTTATGTTAAAAGGTAGTGTTACTTTAGTGTAGTCTTTTGCAAGGTGGGGGTTACTTCCACAGACGGCCCGTCTGGGGAAGTTCTGGAATCTTCACGACACACTTTAGTAGAATATGGAAAAGTGCATATAATAGGAGACATTATATGGTTTGTGCCACAACTGCAACCAAAACATCTTTTGCTGATAGATTTTTTCTTAAGGTACAAGTCCGAACTGAACCGCAGACCACAGGCCGCAGCTGCAGACTACAGGCGACACTACTAGTTTCTATGAATCTCTATGAAATTGATTCCGAACGCGGCGACATGCCGCGGCTGCACAATGCATATAATGCACGGTCAGCCGCAAGGAAATGGAGCAGCGCACGCATCATGGCATCATGGCTTTATTTGGTGTTTCTGTGATTGCCATAACGCGTCGTGCGCGTTTTCATTAGAGCCATAACACGAATTTCGCGATGTGGATGTTTTACTGTGACCACAACGCGTTGTGAGCTATTTTTCCGCTCACTGAGTGTTTTCGATCTTTGAGCGAAAAATATATATAGTCGCGTGTGACGCTCGTAGCGTTCAGCCTTCGCATACACACATATATATATATATTATATCTCTGCGATGGCTGAACCTGAACCGCTACGAGCGTCACGATATATAGTCATGTGACGCTCGTGACGCATTTCCGTTTGATCTTTTCGATAGGATTTTTCCATTTACACCCCGTTTGAAGTTTCACTTCAATTATTTAATCATGGACGACTAGACGGTCGTTTTCTGTATCTAATGGCTACTCTGAGGTACTCATTCTATCTCCATATCGCACGAAAGATGTGCTCGCTGCTCCGTAGTTCAGGTGGTTATTATACTTTCCGATATTTACCACGTAAAGTACATATTTCAATACACTTTAATCCTATTAATGGTGTTGATTTTGGCATGACTCTTTAAATCTAAAAATGAATTTGACAACAGTGTATCCTTGTAATTTTCTACACAGAAT